TTGCACCATCGTTCTTAACTCGATGAGTTACATAAGTTCCAAAAAAGAAAATCGAAAAATATGCATGGGGTGGTAAAGTGCACTTTAGCCAATTTACCAAAATACTTATTCTTATACCTACTGCAGTTGTACAGTTGTACTTTGTACTTATTAGTTATTTTCAGTGGCGGAACTAGGGGGGTGAAGCCGGGGATTGATTCCCGGGCGTACAATTTTAGTGGGCGTACATAGGTACATAGGCATTTTTATTGATGCTTTGTTTTCGTTAAAATTTCTGATACCTACACAATAACTGTTATAAGATTATCAATCAACGTACGATACGTATATTATATCTGTATATTAAAAATGATGTTCATATATAGTTTTATAATATTATATATTATAATATTTACCAAGATAGTTATACATTGTTATGTTTAAAACAAAGGTTTGATTTTAACATTTACTTTTTCATTTTTCTATTATAAATTGTTTAATTAAATACAATTTTTTACTGGCCTAATTGGTGTACCCTAATCAGAATAAAAGATGTTATATTTTACCATAAAAAATCTATTATAATTGAGGCTGAGGCGCATAGAACCAAACAGCAAAAGGTTTTTATACAAGGATAGGTAGGTAATTTAAAGTTTTGATTATTTTCAACATTTATGTATAACTAATATTTATTATTATTTCTAATAATAAATACAATTAAGGTAACCACTACAGTATTTCCAGTATATAAAAATGTATCAACAATATGTTAACTAAGTTTTTAAATTTAAAGTGTTTTTGGTGTGATAGTTTATAGTAATAAACTTGGTTACACCACAGTCCACAGAATATATTAATTACTATATATATTATGTGTTTAAAAGTTAATAGTATGTTTGTAATTTTAGTTCCAGTTATGATAAAACAATTTGTAGGGAATGATATTGTATTTTCAATCTTGGTCTATGATTGGGCTTATTTTTAATATTTTCCCCGGGCGTAAAAATTCTTAGATCCGCCTCTGGTTATTTTAGTGTGTAATGTATAGGTATTACCTAGATATAAATTATATTGTTATCTACCATACTACCTATCCAGCTAAGCCATATATTTTGATCCTATATTAATTTGTACACTAGAAAATTCCATTTTCCGAATATCAGACACAGTCATGATATAGGTATAATGAGACTGTTGCCAGTCTTTTGGATGACATCGTATAACATCGTATCGTATCGGAGTTAATTAATTCCAACAAAAAATACCCTCAGGTTGCGCATAAGGGATTTTTGTACAATTTCCACAAAGAATATTTTAATTTTCTTCGTTGGAGGTGTTCAAAAAACATCTCCATGAGACCATGATGTGTCCATGTTTTTTAAAACTGATTTAAACATAACTGATAGCCAACTTTGATCTTTGTAAATAACGATCATGTGCATGAATCAAATGAAAATCTTATTTCTGCGACGAAAATAAAAAATCTTATGGTGGAAAAAGCTAAGCTAACTAACGATTTACCTGCTCAAATTTTCGCGGAAGTGGTATCAAACGTACTCCGCTAAGTATACTCGCTAAATTACCAAAAGAAGAATATCTAAAAAGAAACAATTAGAAACCACAGAGCATGTAATGATCCACTTAAACCTACTTGTGGGAACGAAATAATTATTGAATGTAAATAATATTGTAAATTTTTACATTATTTTTATTTAAATTAAGTACCTACCTACGTTTAATAAATTATCATACTAAATATTATTCTAAACGTAGCTTAACGCCTTAACCTAGCTAAGTATACTCCCCAGTTGATTATTTTATAACATTTAATATTTTTCACAATAATTTTAAGTCATTAAAATACATTTTATTGTTTACACATATTTTTTTAATTACTAGGAGATATCGGGAATATGGAAAATGAAATCTTTGCTGTATGGCAATGGCCCAAATTCTGATAGAATTTTAATGTTCGCCACTGATAACTATTTGTCGTTATTGGCCAAATCTGATAGGTACCTGGTTTGTCGACGGAAATTTTAGCCTCGTCCCGGAATTTTCAAGCAATTATACGTCATTCGTGTACAAATAAATTCCGTATTTGTGACATCAGTATATTGCATTCTGCAGCAAAAAGGCAATGAACATATTATGAAAAAATATTTAGTATTTTATTAAAAGAATGTCAAGATCGTGATACTTGTACCCAGATCCGAAATTTTTACATTTAGATTTTGAATTAGCAGTCATAAATGCTGCAAACAATATTTTTGGAACTCATATTACGATTAACGGATGTTTTTATCATTTGTGTCAATCGACACACAGAAAAATTCAGAAACTTGGTTTGTCTGGGATTTATAAAGAAGAATTTATAATAATTTTCGGATTATAAATATTTATAATAAATATTGCGGCATGATTGATGGATAGCTTTAGTACACAGGATAAAGTACTGTACAGAATGACAGGTCTAAAATAAATAATGCCTCCAGGATGTGTTTTTATTATTTTTGTTTTTGTGATGACTGTCATAGGGTCATCTCTTTTTAGGACAGTAAAAGTGCTTGGATTTTCGTCAACAGTAGGTATCTTTTCTAATAGGAAAGTGAATTTAGTTGGTACTTTAGGGGGGTCAAAATTAACATCCGTAGTTCTTCAAAGCTCATGAAAAAACATAAGAAAAATTAAGGAAAAACGGGAATTTAAGGCAAATCGATTTGGTTTTAGTCGTACCCAACTCTAAAACAAATGACCGTAAACTCATGAAAAAAGTAATGGGTCCGCTGTAGAACTACTTAACATTTGTGCCGCCAACTTTACCTTAATTTTATTCTGATGCCACATATCTATAATATGATTTGCCTAAAAAATAACCCCGGAAAAAATAACCCTGAAAAAAAGAACCCCGAAAAATTAACCCCACGAAAAAATAACCACGGAAAAAATAACCACGGAAAAAATAACCCTATAATAAAAATTTATTATTTATTTTTTTATTTAATTTTTTATATATTCGACGTATTGTTCCACATCACGTAGGTTTCGTCAAAATATTGAAATAACTCCTCGGAGGAATAATTAATTTTAAATATTCAACACCTTCTTGTAACCTATTTAGTGGTAAAAAAGCCAAGCCATCTAACATAGGTAGGTACCACAGAATTCATCAAAATCATAATCTTCTTGGTATTTTTTTTTTAATTCTAATTCTGTCAATTTTCTGTGAGTACTCTGGCATAGGTGATAGAAACATCCGTTTATTATTAAATGTTCACCTAATACATTTTTTGCTGCATTTATTAATGCCTTTTCGAAGTCTATTTTTATATTTTGTGGATCTGCAGGAAAAAGATTGTTCTTTTCGCAGACTGATAAAATAACTTTGAATATTATTTCGTAAATAGATTGATTTTTTTTTTCAAGTAAACGGTAAAAAACAGTAAAAAATGCACTATATTTTTCAATTCGTATGATGTAGAGCTCTGAATTGTTTTTATCGTGGGTATATACAATAATTTATCATTGAATCCAAAATTAATATTGTATGTAGCCACGTAGGTAATAGCCAATAGGTATGTTATACATTTTGTATTGATTTGAGATTAATTTTAAAAATCTCATATTATGGCAATTTAGCCTATGTGGTTATTTTTTCGCGGTACCTACCCTATAATATGACTGGTTTAGTTTATCGCCTAACTTTAATAATTTAATGTTAGGCTTGTTTGAACTTCATATAATTTTTTTTAAAGAGTTCCAATTAATTATACCTCCTTCCGCCTTCGGCAGGTAATAATACTCTCGCATTTCTGGCTAACTTTAGCATGTGACAGGTATGTGGCATAAAAAAAAACCTTTTCTCTAACTCGCAGTATGTTTTTAATACTTTGTAGTTTGTACAATATCCTATTCTTCATAAGTTGTGTCAAATAAATAATTACCTGCAGAATAAGTGGCAGATCTAGGGTTTTTTAAGAGGCGTGTCTCGTATTCTGTATACACCATCCTCAAGGTAAGAATTTATTTACTCCTCAAAATGAATGTGCTTAATATTCAAAAGGTACCAATTTTTTTTAGAAATGTCCCTAGCCTACTGAAAAATACATGTTATATTTGTTTTTCAGGAAGCAACATGCCAAGGGAAGTGCTATATCCACGACTAATCTGAGGGATTTATATTGTGGGTTTGAATTCTAAACTTATCACAATTCACCATCATAATATGAGATGGTAATGTACTCATTACATTAATAGTACCAACTGTATATTATGAATTATTAAAAGAAGTTTATTTGACTCCATTGACTGTATGTCTATGTAATATCGAGTACTATTGTACTAGTATAATTATATCGGTATGTAGTATGATGTACTATGTAATTAAAAATTAAAATGTATAACTATATATTCAATTGTAACAAATAATCATCGTTTTTTTTTTTTTTGATTTGTGCAATATTTTAACTTTTGTTATGACATTGCACCCCCTCCCCCCACCACATCCCTTGGGATTGAACAATTATGTTTCACATTGTACATTATATTACTATTTACTAAAACAAATATACTTTTAAGTGTTGCATAGCAGAAATTCTCAATCTGCAGTTCCTGTTGTTTCTTGGAGGTTACTAACCAATTATACAGTTACCAATATATATTTCTAAGCACCACAAAAAGAAATGTAATATCTTTAAAAATGTCGAGGTCCTTATTAAGTTTCGGTAACCCACCTGGCATTCATATTGCACAATTAAAGTCGAGATGCATTTAAAAACCACAGTAAATTCATCAATTAAAAAAAAAAAACCAAGAGTGATATAAGGTGCAAAATATATTGAAAACTTATAAGTTTTCAATATTCACTTTTCAGAGAAAAAGAAAAGTAACACATGAATATTGAATATTGATATAACTACTTTTCTAAATATGTATACAAAAATTGTATATTCATTGAAAAATAAATAAATCTCAAAATGTCACCACATTATTTATTTTAAATATATAAAGAGTAAAACAATTTAAGAGTTGGCATTTGGCCCTCTCCTGCGTCCGAAAGTCTGAACAACATTTACGAAGCGCCTGTTGTACTGAATACGTCTCTTTGATCGTCCAGTTTTCTTCTTCTTTTTCTTTTCAACTTTTTCAACTTTTGGAGTTTGTCCCTTAACTTTACCGGCACGAGCCAGGGATCCGTGAACTTTGCCTAATTAATAAATTAAATTTAAAATTTCATATTTTTCAAGTAAAATAAAAATAAAACTATTTACCTCCAAGCAATGGAACAATAAGATCCAAATTGTAGTTGACTAAGTCGTCAACAAGTTGAGTGTCAACAAGTGGTTGACCTTGATTATATAATGAAATTAAATCTCCATCAATATTTTCCAAGATAGCCAATTTTTCCTAATTATTTGAACAAATATTTAAGTTATTAATTCTGTATTAAAATGTAATTTCAAACACATAATATGCACTATCTATAACCTTTTATACTAAATTATCAATATATTGATAAATAAGTTTTATCAAAAAGTATATCTAGTATATAATCATTTTTTTTTATATTGGAAATATTATTTTTTTGTTTAGTTGAACCAAATTTTATTTAAAGACATTATTGTAGTATAATGGTCAGTTACATAGGCGCTGGCAGGAATTTTGTCAGGAGGGTGCATAGTATACGCCGATTTTTAATTAATGTTTAAATTATTTTAGTTAAATACGTAGAAATATTTTTTCAAATTTTATTACAGTAAAAAGTTATTTTTGTTTTTTTTCGTCAGATACAAATTAATACGAGCTATATTATGGCTATGATTAGAAAATCTGATAATGATCGACAACTCGTAAGCTTATCGCATGCGATAGAAGTGACCGATTTATATATTGAATATACTTGTGACAACTGACATGTCATTTGTGTTGACACCATACGATATAATATAAAATAATCTGAATCATAAAATAGTCGTTAGTCGTGTGTGTATTTCTCAGCGTGCTACGTTGTATATTATTTTAGTTCTTACGAGTTAAGTTGTAAAATTGAAGAATTTGGAAAAAAACTTAGGCGTTTACAGTTATTATTTAAAAAATAAGTATTAGATATAATTTATAATAAATAAACAATAATCATGTAAAATAAAATATTAACAATACAATACATTTTTTTTTTTTTGAATAGCCAAGGGGGTGCAATTGAACCCCCCCTCGAAGTCAGTTATATTTTGACATACGTTATATTATTATCAAAATCATAAATATTATTTAGAAAAATGTGATCAATACAAGTTGAAGACCCACTCATATTATTTACTTTAGTGTCTTTATTTATGTAAGATTTAAATTCATAATAATTTAGAATATTTAGGTATCTAACTGAAATAGCCTACGTCTATGTCCTATATATTTTCAAAATATTTAGTACACAGTATACCTTACATCATAATATAATACATGGTTGGAGCAATATTCTTATTTTTTTTTATAACATAATCTAAGTTACAAGTCTCATATTGATACGAGGAAACAATGCATAAAGGCCCAAATACACGATCTAACACATTTTGCAACAACTGTGTTAGTGCAAACATTTTGAGCGTGTTTGGCGCGGTTTGAGAGTTGCGCAATGTATTTCGGTTGGGTTTGAAATTTTCTGCTCAAACACATAAATATCAACATTCTGTGATTGTGTTACAATTCTCTGGCGTTCAAATGATTTAAATTAGGTTTCAAGTAAAAAAACAGGCTAAAATGTACTTTACCAACCACCTCACGATTTAAAATTTTTTTTCAAACAACTTGTTTTATGCTCAACATGATGGTGTAAATATTTTTACTGGAAACTATTATTTTAGAAGTTATAGCCTTCCAAAGTTTGTGATTTTAAGTTTATGTGATTGCTCGCAAAGCTACTTGAAGTCCACGCACAGCGCTTATAACAAATTTTTTTTTTATATAGGTAACCATTAGCCTGTCATCTACCCAAAGATAATTGCTTTTTAACAATATTGTTTAATTCCGAGGCATACCCAAGGTGCTTTTACACTACAAATCGAAGGATATTTTTGATTTTTTTTGTCCGAGCGCAGCATTTATCAAAAGTCATAACACATGACAGCATAATATAATCCAGACTTTTAGACATAATAAACACGCAATTTTTACCTTGATCTGTTTGATAGTATCAAATGCATCACATTCCATGGCATGTTCATTTTGACCACGTACGAACAGCTGCATATTGAAGTCGCTAAAATGTTATTAAACAAAAGGTTATAACCTAATACAAAAAACGTTGATATTCTGTGTTCTGTTTCTTGTGAATTGCATTACGAAAATCGTGTACAACACAATTCTAAGAAATGTTATGTTAAACAATTGGAACATTACTTACATTATCAACCACCGCCGATTAATTTATTTCAAACGCAGTGGCGTCCAACGAGGAAAAGCTTTCCAAAAGGCGAAGCGAAAAGACAAGCAAATCCAATGTGCATTCACTAATAAGTAATAACTAACATAACCTGAAAGTAATTTTTCCTTACAAGACACAGATAGTACGTATTAATGTATTATTGGTTTGTATATCTGTGTGACAAGATTTATTTTGTCATGCTGACCAGTGTTGCCAACACTTGTCAGAAGAAAATGATCAAACACATGAAAAAAATTGTGTATATGTGTATACTGAAATTAATTTTTTTTTTTAAAGTACATACAAAATATATACAATTCGAAAGTATTATTGAAAATAATTGTAAATTAAAAGCAATTAAGTAATAACTAATTAGGCAGACTTCTTTTTCTTTGAATTTATTATTTGATGGTTCTAATTTTCAATATTAGATATGTTGATGGTGCATAAATAACAGTGACGTCACGGATATGGATCAGACAAAAAATGTTCCTGCAAGAGACATTCGTGAAATTCGTGGTAAAAATAATTATTATTTTTTAACAAATTTGTATTTTTTCTGTTTCACGTTTATTCATCCAACAAAGCTATGAAAATTGATGAAATTTAAATACAAAGTAAATTATAAATTATAAATAATAAAGTATAAACCCAAAACGGCAATTTTGTAAAATATTTATAGTCGTAGGTACAGGTACAGATTATACAAAACCAAACCTTGTTTTTTCTTCTTCGTCGTAGTTATTTCTTTATTTAATTTAGAATGATTAATATCAGATAAATTATTATTTATTAGGTAAGTACCATTTAATAACACTACACGACAGATATTTTAAAAACATAATATCATTAATCATTATAAACCAGTGTCGTCATTTCAGTTTTCGAGATTGGGGGGGGGGGGCAAACTTTTGACCAGCCCTTAATAAAACTGAAAAAAATATGAAAAAAAATTGATTCAAAAACAAGTAAAAATGCAAAATGTTTCAAAAAAACCCAAAAAATAGCAGTAAAAACTAAAAATATACAAAAAAAAAAGCAAAGTAACATTTTTAATTTGAGTTCTCTGTATCATGGAACATATTTTTAGCTTACTCTACTATTTTTTAAGCATCTCATAAGAAATTTGCAAATGCTATAAAATCCCAACCCTGCAGGTTACTATATCATATATAGGCATAAATAACTCATTTTTTAAAATGCTAATAATTTTTAAAATTGAAGTCAGTATTTACAAAAACATTAAATCATAAAAAGTTTTTTTTTTAATTGAGTTGGTATAATAAATTTGGAGCCTGTAATTATACATTACATTTGCATTTTATTCATTGGCAATATTTTTATCGAGTAGACATCAATTAGAAAAAAATATTATGTATAATTTAGTCACTTCTTTGGATATTTGCATCCTTCTTAAAATCTTTAAATTAAATTAAAACTATTATGATTCTACTCCTAATTCTAATAGTAGTCTGGTAGAGTGGAGTATTATTTTCTAGTGCTCATAAAAAACTAAAAACATGTTTAAAATATTTTGCATATTTTATTTTATGATTAGGTATATTATTTATATTAAAATATTATTCAATAATAGTTATCTTATAAACTTCAAACTAATTTTGAAAAATTGTTTAGTTTTTTTGGTGTTTTCTTGTTTTTAGCACCTTGCTCATTTTTTTCTTTTTTAAGTGAATATCATTCTTGTTTTGACATAATGCGTTATGATATATTTGGTTAATATTTGACTGTGTATTGGGCAACCAATCTTTGTCAAAAAATTTGTTTATATATTTCTTCAATAAATATAAATTATGTTAGAAAAATAAACAGTGAAAAATGTATATGTAGTTTTCAAATTGAAATGCAACATTAAAAACATGATCTTTTACCGGGACAGCTAGTTATATTTATTATATTTAGATATTTTACACTATAATCTAGTACAGTATTTCTCATTTTTTTTTGTCGTGAGGCTCCCTAAATTTAATGTAAAACTGTCAAGGCCCCCTTAATCAAAATTATTAATTGTTTTTTCTAAATTAGGTATATACTAAAATTACTTGGTTCCATGTCATAATATCTTCGAAATAATATCTTCGGTCAAAATATCTTGATCAAAATTCAAAATATCTTTTGTGAAAATATCTTATGACAAAAATGTATTCGGTTAAAATATCTTTTAAACTGATTTTTTCAAAATGTTTATTCATATTATTTATTTATTTTATTTTTATAAATATATCGTGTACCTACAACATTATTTATAATAATTGTTTAATAATATAGTGTTAGTAATTAGTATGATCCAGTGCCGTAAAAACCGGGTGTGCAAAGTGTGCACCGCACACAGGCCTCGGGCCTCATAATATATCGAAGGGCCTCAAAAGATCCAAATACTAATATTAAACTAATATAAAATTATTAAAATATATAAATTATTTATTATTGATTTGGAAACGAAACCAATGTTTCAAACCAATTGAGAGGAACGAACAAATGTATTGATTTTACAAGATGTGTATAATTTTTTTCATTTCTGTCGGTCATCAACAATGGGTAGTAAAAATATTCCGAATTTCGAGATCAGCATTTTTTCTGTTAGAAAAGTGAATCTAGTTGGTACTTTTTGGATATCGAAACCGAAATTTTTAGTTTTAGATATTAAAAAGTGTCAATAAAAAAAAAAAAAAATTGTCATTTTTACCTAAAACTAAAAATTTTATTTTTTGGTGTAACTCGAAAACTAATAACCGTAGACCATTGAAGTTTTCACCAAATATTTATATTAATATTTTCAATAAATTACATTTTGGACAATTTTTACTTTTTTGAGTTAGTTATAGCCTTGAGAAATTGTTTTAAAATTATAGATTATTTTAAATTAAACATTTTTTTTTGTTTAAGCCCGAATTTTTGTCTGCTGACTTTAAAAATTCAAAAAAAGTTTTTGAGGTGTGTATTGAAAAAGATAATAAGGGGCCTCAATATTTTGGTTTTGCACACAGGCCTCAAGTAGCCTAGTTACGGCACTGAGTACAGTAATAGATATCTGTTACAAGATTTGTTCAGTTTAGAATATTATAACAACTAAAGTCAATATTTTATTATATTGTAAAAATTGACTTACACACTCGACAATACGAAAAAATCAACAATAGTTTTTTGTGTTCACAAATTTATTTTTAATTATCGAACATAAACAATATAACATTTTTTAATTTTGAATATAATTTCAAAAACGGAAACAATTTTGGAAACGGTTGCCGTTATATTATTATACAATTTTGTATGTTCAAAAAAAAGTTAGAACAAAAAAGAAAAAGCCGAAATTTGTAAAGTGAATATTATTCGATATAAGTAATGAAAATATAAATACAAAAAAAAAAGGCATCGGTCAAGACGACGCGATGTGGGGGGGTACGTGGTGGCGAGTTGGTGGTGCTGATGATGTATTGGTAACTGGTATATGGCCACTGGTCACCTCTACAACGTTCTCACGGGCTGTCCTGCGGGGCGGACGAGAGTCGCGGGCGAGTTTGCTCGAGACCGCCAAGACGACCATGGCAGCGGACGAAGCCCGGCCACGACGGCTGCGAGAGCGACGACGATTGGCGACGAGAGGCTAGTGCGCGATGTCGTGCGCTGCTTGACGGTACTGCGGGTGCTGAAGACGACTGCTTGTGCCGGCAACGACGGTGACCTGCAAAGCTCGGAGAGGCGAGCTGGCGACTACGATCTCGATGCAGCTGCGGAATCGGCGGCGTTGCGACTCGGGATCGGACCACTGGGCGAAAAAGGGAGAAAATCTGCAGACAGCTTCGCGACGACGCGCCGCTGTCCTGATAGTCTTCGTGATTTTCGCCCTGGCGTCTCCGTCTGCCACAGCCGATGGCCACGGAGCCGCGCACCGTCGAACCAGACGAAACGTTTCGTTTCCTCGAGCCCGGCGCTGCTGACGTCCGTGGCGTTCCTAGCTATACCCTGTAATCATAGTCATCCGTCACTCACCCGCCGTGAGCTCTGAGGTCTCCGTCGCCGCCGTCACGCGAGTCGCGCAGCACTGCAGCGTTCGTCACTGAGCAGGTACCGTGTCGGGGACGGCGTCGTTGTCCGCGCCGGTACCGCTAACCTCCGTCGTCGTCGTGTCGTCGTCGCTCCCGGACCGAAGCAGCCGGGCGCCCGCCGCGCCGCCAGAGGGTCTCGCGTGTCTCGGCGACCTCGAGCTCGCAACGTCCGCGATCCCGTCGCGCTGCCGCAGGATGGCCGGAGAACGTGTATCGGCGACTTACCGCCGGTCACCACCTGAATGTGCACTGCCGCGTACCTATTACCTCGAAACCCCACACGTCGCCTCGTCTTGTCCGCTGCCCTCGGCCAGGGGGGAAACTTTTGGACGGTTTCACTTCGGGGGACAACAACAGCGCAACACGCGTGCGGCTCTCGTCAGGCCTCTCCACGCAGAGGACACCAGTCTCGCCGTTGCACTGCGCGGAGCTGCGCGTGTTTCTGCCTTGACCCCCGGGTCCAGCCAACCAATCAAGATCCCGATACTATTTCTGACTTCCAGTCCTCTGGCCGGTGTGGCGCCCACCGCCTCGCCATCCAGCTCCTTTTTCGCGGCTTCCTGCACCGGAGGCGCGACCACTTCAACGATCGGTTCAACCGGTTCTGCCATTTTGTCAGATTTGTCGACCGGTTGAAAGACGTTGGACGGGACGTAGTCGTCCCCCGCGAAGCGCGTCGCATACGATAAAAGTCCTTCCAGGTCTCCGATGGTAGGCTCTTGGTCGATGTCGTCTATTCGTTTAAGTTCTTCTTCCATAAT